AATATTATTTACATACACCCAACGAACACAAAAAAACAATAAAACAAACACCCGCAAATATATCATAGATATATAGTATATAATATATATAATTATATAGTATATAATTATATATATTATATACTATATTATTTTTTGCGGGTGTTTGTTTTATTGTTTTTTGTGTTCGTTGGGTTGTATTATATACTATATATCATAGATATATAGTATATGATATATATCTATGATATATTTGCGGGTGTTTGTTTTATTGTTTTTTGTGTTCGTTGGGTGTATGTAAATAATATTGTACATCTATATATACTCTTTCTCTCAACCTACAGCTTGGCCTGTGGAAGGATTGAAAAGATCCGAAAGCTTGCATAAAATTTCACGTATAAAGAAACGTATTGCTACCGTTTATTTGTTATTTCATATCTGTCTATATATCACAGCTTTGTTGGATTGGTTAGTTAGGGTCTTGGATAGGTCAGGATAGACATCAGCTACTGGTGTGTATATATAGAATGTTATCTAGTTTAATTTCTTTAATCTCTTGTCCTTCCTTGTTGTTTATGAAATGCCTTTCAATGAATAAAGGATCTTCGTAATTATCAGCCTTCTTTCTTGCCCCCAAATATATACAGTTAGACCTGTCGCTCCCTCTTGGGACTCACGAAAATAGGGTGCTATAGAGAGGGGCTGCTATAGACAGGTCACTTTTAATGTAAAAATCGCATCGTACTACTTATTTAAAATCGGGCGTTATAGAGAGGGAGGCGCTATAGACAGGTTTAACTGTACATACAGTTACATATATTATGAATAAGATTTTCTGTTGATTTTGATTATATTGAGGATTATGCTATGGTAATGCAGTCGTGGTTAAAAAATTTTGAAGTATAATAATATAAAATAGTTTTGGATCAGAAATTGCTTTAATTGAGTTTAAGAAATATATTTTAAAAATAACTTTGGCGGTCGATTTAACAGAGTATTTGTATCTATGAAATATAATTTAAATAAATAATACCTTTATATAACATATATAGAGACAGTTTTAAATAATTCAATTTTTTGAACCTACAGATGGCCCTGTAAGTTCTGTTCTAAGGGTTGCAGCACCCAAACAGAAGGAACAACTGAAGGTTCCCATGGCGACCCAAATAGCGACAAGGTCTGGTATTTGAGGAGCGAGGGCGGTCTTACGTAATAGGCCACCGCAATAAAAAAAAAGCTTCTTCAGCAGTTCTCAACCACTTGTCTTCTGGTGTATAAATACCCACCCCCACTTCACACTTGTGTCCATAGATGCTTAATGATGGAGGCATAGCTTGGATCTATAATTCTGTAGGCACCTCTCCCTTCAAAAATGAATTAAAATAATGCATTTTTGTTTATTACCCAAATACATATCTCTATATATTTAAAAGTCAATGTCTGTCTGTTTCGCGATAAACTCAAAAACTACTGAACCAATTGGTACCAAATTTTGCATGTCGCTTTTTATAAACCTGAGGAAATTTTCGGCTACATTTTGATTCGTATTTTTGGCTATTTCTTTTTTCATTTGAAGAACTTTTTTTTTTACGCGGAGTAAATACGAGGCTAAGTAACAACACGAGGCCAATTAAGCGACCAATGAGCGTTCTGCATTTCTTTTCAGTTGCTTGCGTACTTTTTTTTAAATATCTTTTTATGCGAGTGTCACTTTTTTTTTACAAAAGTATTGAGAGAGAAATTTATATTACTAAGTTACGGTAAGTGCACACAATGCAATTAAAAAAAAACTTTACAAAATTAGCGTTACTGTATGTAAACAATGGCTTTCGTATTTTTTATTAATTTTGTTCTGGCCTTTGTTTTTTTTTTTATATAATAAATAAAAGTTACAGTCAATATGATAATTCTTAAAATTAAACAAACAATAGTCAATATGCAAAAAATACAAACTAACTTATAATAAAATATTCTAATATCAAGCAATATGCGAAATCTCTCCTAATATTTAAATGTACATATTATTAGCATCTTAACGGCGTTTATTCGTTTTTGTGTACTCCTGAATTCCCGGGCGAAGCCGGGTCATTCGTCTAGTTGTACTATAAATGATAAATAATGAGTCACAACACCAGTTTTGGCAAATTTGACCGAGTTCCTAACTCCTCTCGTAGGATGGTATGAAGACGTCCCTGTACTGATGATGGCTGAAACAATGGTATACATGTTGTTGGCTTTTTGTCTGAATTTACCAAAACTGGTGTTTTGGCTCATTCTTTATCATAAACAATATGTTCTGTACTGGAATGTTAAACCAAAGGCATTTTTAAAATGTATATTTAAAGGGAGAGGTACGCGCTACAATAATATCATATCCTCCCGCAACCATGTATTGAATTATAATTCATTATTTTTCAAAACAAATAATACCCTACTGTCCTTACTGTAAGAACAAAAATACTGAGAGGATTTGGCTCATCAGTGGTTACCCATCCCAGCGGTTTCGCCAGTTTAAGAAATTGTTTTGAAAAATAAACATCCGTTCTTAAATAGTTAATATTTCTAAATCCGGGTGGTGCGCGCTTTTTCCCTATCTTTGAATAATGTTTAGCAATGCTCAAACCTTCAGTTGATTTTCCCGATCCTGATGAGGGTGGATGCTATTGGCTGAAGCGTTATGAAAATAAAAGATTTCCTTCTAGTTAAGTTGCATATTCCAATATGCAAGTAGAACTCCGAGCAGATATGCAAATAGAATACTGGGTGAAAGAGAGTTGAGATGTCCTGAACACCAGAAAAGACCTACTGTATATAGCTTCAACCTCTGTACCCTATTTCAAACAATACAATTATTTTATGATTATGCAAATAGAATGTGGTTAGATATGCAAATTTCAGATCATTTCCATCGTACGACGATTGTTTTAAAAACATAAAGAATTCGCAATTTGTAAATCATAATGACAGTATAGTTTTTGGAATGACAAGAGAAGACTTTGTTTCTGTAACTACTTTGATGAATAGAGAAGTTTAAGTAAAAATAAATGAAAAAGCCACTTACTTTGCTGAATAAGACACCTGTACACACAGAACACACCAACGGTGAGTATTTTTACATATAACACACAATATATAGTTTATAAACATATAACATTGTTACATATGTGAATATGTAGTGTGAAATCACAGTACAAGGCAGAGAGTAAACCACATGTATGATGCTGTACAAGTTCTAACAGGAGCTTTCATATCTCGTTCCTATCTCAATATTTCAACATCAGGATAACTGTAATACGTTTCTTTATTAAGTTAAAACGAAAAGCTTTCGAGTGTTAGCTCATCATCAGGACAATTGTTTCGCATATACCTACCACAGAAGGGATTAAAACACTAACAAATCATTATCTCAGTATATCCCCGATACTTAAAAAAAACCATATTTACACATGTTATATATATTTAAGATTAGTATTTATGTTGTTAGTGTTGATTTCTAAAATATATATGGTGGTCCCCTAGATGAGGCTTAGTACTAACGTCTATTTTGACGGGAGAGGACACCTTTATTTTATTATTTATGAATATCATACAGAATTGTTTTTATCATATTGAAATATGTGTTTTAATTCTTCTTGAAATTAAGAAAAAGGCATCTCTTGAACGTGCAACTAAAATTTGTTGGTTTGCGCCATCTGTCGGGATAAATATCAACTAAGCGTTGATTCCAGAAATGGCTAAATACCTTTCTTTATTATGTACGTGATGGCGCAAGTCATCAGCAACTTTAAGTTGCATAATCAGGTGTTGTCTTAATTTAACCATCTGATCCCGGTACAGTTTTACTTCAGTACTGTTTGTTCATATCTTGTAGATAGAGGCTGCCTGGCCTGCATTCATAGTTCTTAAAAAATAGACACTTCGGCCAGTGTGAGTTTTTATTTTCTTAACGTTCCAACAAAAACTTTTGTCTTCGTCAGGAGAAATAAATAAGTATAAAACATTTGGGCAAATGGGTTAAAAATTATTCTTTTAAATAATTTTTAACGTCTTGCCAAATTCTTTATTTTTATTTATTTCTACTGACGAAAAGATTTTTGTCGAAACCTTGAAACAAACTTTAACTGTCCGAAGTGTATTTTTTAATGAAAAAAATTTCACATATTGTTGAAATGTTTCCTTACATGTGGAACTGTGGGATGATACTCAAGTTTTGTATTTACTTGGGGAAGTAAGAACAACAACCAGTCTCTACCATGATTATCATGGCCTGATGTTATCCCTCCCATGATGAGCCAATTACAAACAAAATTGAAGACAAACACGGTATAAACTTCTGCAATCAAACTTTGTTGACATTTTTCCACATGTCCTGTCACACCGTTGTCCCATTTAAAATGTCGTTCTCCAAAAGTTTGACACCAGACGACACCGAAATCACATTTTAGGCTTAATTAGCCGTAATTATCGTCTGCCAACCTCCCCTACTCTTTATTTAGACACCGACATTTTATATTCACATCACACAATTCTAAAATATAAAATAAATCTTCAATCTTATTTTTCTTTAATCTTTTCTTTTATACTCACTTTCACTTTATATAAATAATATTTTTTATAAAAATACAATTTATTTTTTCAGCGATATAACCCTATTTTAAAACCTCATTTGTACATATTTGCATACCTTTTTTTTATATCAGTTGCAACCATGTATATGCATTTCAACTTTTTATATTGTTTTATTTTATATTTTGTTTTATATTGCTAGATATCTTTCCTTATGTATGGAAGAATAGATTGACAAAAGACTTCACTAATAAACTTTCCATCATTGAAAAAGGACGGCAGTGGGTTGTCGAAATATCATAACAATAAACCTTTTAAAACGAAAATTGAAATTATACCGCGAATGTTTCTTTTATAAAAATCGAAATTTATTTTCAAAGAGAAATAGCGACATTTCTAACTTTGAGGATGAGGTATGGAAAGGTGAAACATGAAGAGTAATGGCGAACGGAAAAAAAAAAAAGTGTCCAGGGGCGGGAAACGAACCCACACCCTTCCGCTTACCGGGCAGGTGCCTTGTCCACTCGGCTTATTTTTCCGTTCGCCATTACTCTTCATGTTTCACCTTTCCATACCTCATCCTCAAAGTTAGAAATGTCGCTATTTCTCTTTGAAAATAAATTTCGATTTTTTTTTTATATAAAAGAAACATTCGCGGTATAATTTCAATTTTCGTTTTACAATCATTAGCAGCGTTATATTGTATTTTAAATAAACCTTTTGTTTTAAAAAAGGTTGATGAATTATAAAACTTGAATTATTTTATCGCAGTGTATATATCAGGGGATTACGGGGGGGTAATTTCTTTTTAAAACCGTTTATTTCATAAATCTCGGGCACCAAGACCTTCCTACAGGAGAGACACTAAAATAAATCACCAATAAAGCTCGAAATTTTACAAAAATTAAACACACATAGGTTGTTTAAAGATGTTTGAATGAAGATTCAACGCGGTTTTTTTTTTTATAAAATACAATTTTTATTAAATACGATTTATGAAAAAATGTATTTAATTTTTTTTTATCAGAGTAAGGACAGTTGAACATTTGATTTATTTGGGAAAGAAAAATTCGTTCTTATTGTTCTCTTTCTTATATATGGCGCGTTTTATTGCCTTATGTTATATTTGGTTTTGACTTTGAAAAAGATGAATCTCCCCCTTTCCACTGTTCTAAGTTCTTCCATTGCTGAAATCTCCCACTGAACTCTCCGTCTGCCAGCTTTCTTCCAGTCCGGTCTAATTTGCATATTCTATAAATCAATTTGCATAATCTAGTATTTACACATATATCTACTTTTAGGTTTTAGAGAACTTTTTGGGAAACAGAAACACCTCAAAAGATAATCAAGTATGTAATTTATATATATCTAATCTGAAATATTTTAATTTGCATATATATTAAAAGGTACTCCCAAAACTACAGGAGGAATGTGGAAAATGTTTTAGTATAACGTTCCATCTCTTAAGGACGGAAATGTTTACAATCAGAAAATGATTTTTCTCAATTTTGCCACCAAATTCCGCACATTTTCCTTTTTGTTCTATTGTTTCATGAATACCAAGTTATTATAGGAAATGGCAGTAAAGGTATTGTAAACTTCCATGTGTAAATGAGATGCAGACGAAGCAGGATCCAAATAAAACTTCTCAATCGAGCGTGGCCATTCTCAAGTTTTATAAAAAGACGCCGTGGACCGATTTGGTGGCGTGCCAGGCTATTGTGAACATTTGGGTCAGGAAGCTGGGGTGGTGGACATTTGGCGTCCGACATTTCTTTAACACTACCGATTTGAGTGATTTTAAATTATAAAACCTTTCGCTATAATACATTTCTCTATAACATCTCTTGCTAGAGTGCCCTGTCTTTCAAGATTACAGAGTCAACAACGGTTTAATAGCTTTAGGCCCTAGTGATTTAATTTCAAGTAAGGACACATATATAAAATTTAATTTCCTTTGTAAATATATTTTGGATTTCATTAAGAAAAATGGTCTTTGATGTAACGATCTCAAGGAAATATGGGACATATTATATGGTTGTAAACAATATATAGGTGTATGCGTGTATATGTGTGTATATATGTATATATTTTAAATTTAATGATGTAACTGTAAATAAAATTCAAAGAATATCTTTATATGTAAATAATATTTATGAATCTTTCTAAGTCGCTTTCTGTGTATCTTTCCATGTTGAATATTTTCTTTGTTATATTTGTATGTACATTTAGCGCAAGTGTCCCTAGGGGGACATAGCGTTTTGAATTGAAATAAATAAATAAATAAAATAAAATAATACAAGGTTATCCCAAAAGTTCGTAAACACTTGCGAAAAATTGAAATACCAATATTATTCGTCGTTATGTATAATGTCTTTGTATTATGTATAAAGTAATTGTATTGTGAATTATTATGTATATTCAGCGTAATAATTCGCCAAGTAAAAACACGAACATTTGGGAAAATCATATAAATATATACATGTGTACATGGTGAGGCAGCTACTTGAGAACACAATATAGGAGCCACACTTTCCTGAGTGTAATAGTAGCATAGTTTTTTTCTGCTGCAGGTAGACATGGCAGAACCTACTGTTAAGCAAGAAATGAAAAGAAATGTAGTTATTGTCTCCTTGGATGCAGGACACACCGATTCAGAAACTGTAACATTCTTGAAAGTCGCCCGATCGTTCGTTTTCAAAGTTCGGAAAGAATTGGAAGCTGCAAAGGGTGATGTGGCGGAAGTTTCCCAAAGAAAACGACATTGTCGACGTACTGACAGTATCAGGATACCAGACTTTATAAGCCATGTCCAATCTGCCATCGATGAGGACCCTGGGAAGCCGATGAGGGCACTGAGAGCTGCAGGTTGATGAGGCTACCATCCAACGTGTGGTTCATGAGGACCTCCGTTACAAATCATACGTGATGCGGAGAAGACAGTTCATGTCTGAAAGAACCAAGGTGAATCTCTTGACCAGAGCCAAGCGCCTTCTGAACAAGCTCAAACATCCCGAGTAGACAGGAATGATCTGGTTTTTCTCAGACGAGAAGAACTTTGTTCAGGACCAGAAGGTGAACCGCAAAAATGATCGGTGGCTGTGTAAAAGCCCTGATGAGGTACCTACGGTCATGCATACCAAATTTCCAGCATCATTGATGGTTCTTGGTGTTGTTAGTAGTGAAGGTGATGTCTCCACATTTCTACTCCAGGTTCCAGAGTCAATGCCGTTGCTTACACCGAGGTGTTAGCCACAGTAACAGTAGCCTTGTATCGCTACTGTAGCACGTGGGAGGCCGTATGTTTTTCAACAAGACTCAGCAACATCTCGTACAGCCGGAACAACCCAAGAATGGATGGCCGAGGATCTTCACGACCATGTCACACCTAGCGTTTGGCCTCCAGCTCACCAGATGTCAATCCACTGGACTATTACATGTGGAGCGTAGTTGACTCCAATAGTCATTCCCACAACACAGAGCTGCTATAGTGGATACAAACATTCCCACAACACAGAGCTGCTATAGTGGATACAAACATTCCCACAACACAGAGCTGCTATAGTGGATACAAACATTCCCACAACACAGAGCTGCTATAGTGGATACAAACATTCCCACAACACAGAGCTGCTATAGTGGATACAAACATTCCCACAACACAGAGCTGCTATAGTGGATACAAACATTCCCACAACACAGAGCTGCTATAGTGGATACAAACATTCCCACAACACAGAGCTGCTATAGTGGATACAAACATTCCCACAACACAGAGCTGCTATAGTGGATACAAACATTCCCACAACACAGAGCTGCTAAGTGGATACAAACATTCCCACAACACAGAGCTGCTATAGTGGATACAAACATTCCCACAACACAGAGCTGCTATAGTGGATACAAACATTCCCACAACACAGAGCTGCTATAGTGGATACAAACATTCCCACAACACAGAGCTGCTATAGTTGATACAAACATTCCCACAACACAGAGCTGCTATAGTGGATACAAACATTCCCACAACACAGAGCTGCTATAGTGGATACAAACATTCCCACAACACAGAGCTGCTATAGTGGATACAAACATTCCCACAACACAGAGCTGCTATAGTGGATACAAACATTCCCAAGACCCTTCTCATTACTGTCTGCAGTCGACAGCGTATAGAAGCTGTTATTGCCGCGGGTTCATTGAATGATGGAGCAGTTCCGGAATATCGATGCCTCCATTGCTGCGAGCAGTGGTACAGCTTATGTGACATTGCATACCTATCTCTTCCATGTTCCACGCTTAGTTCACTATCCTGCCAGACAACCTCTATCTTCAAGATATGACATATCTTGTTCCAAAATCACTTTATTAAGTACCGCTCAACAAGAACAACCTATTAGAAAGAGGGAATCATATATCGCCGCAACTCTTTTTTATTAACGCGATTAAGGAAGCTTTCGGGCAAGCCCTTCTTCAGCTAACTATAGTGTACAAACAAGGAGAGATTATATATCGTTTTTAATATAAAATAAAATAAAATAAACTTAGCTGAAGAAGGGCTTGCCCGAAAGCTTCCTTAATCGCGTTAATAAAAAAAGAGTTGCGGCGATATATGATTCCCTCTTTCTAATTTGTCGAAATCCGCAAACCGTTTACCATGAAGAACAACCTAGTTTATGATATTTACAACAATGAAATAATATATTATATTGACGTTATGTGACGCTGAGTTTGTTGTTGACACACATTAAAATGTCATAATACCTTGATAAAGGTTCAGCCAACTGAATTATTGGTAAAATAAATGATATTTTGATCCACAATATATGTCTTTTTAATTAAAGATTTATTTATGGATTGCTCTATTTTCAAAACGATATATATATGTGAAGGTTATTCACATATTAAAACAAAATGTTAACGCGGGATTCAATCCCAGTTCATGACTGTCGGGAATCGAGGGTGTTACCTACTGGTCCACTGACATCTGATACGACATATCCAAAGTAATAAATAGTGTGTATAACAATAAATGTATTAATTTGGATAGCGTTCTTATTGTGTTTCTGATCTATAAATTGTACCATATATCAATTAGATGGAAATTTTGCTGGGAGTATATTGATCTAAAAAAAGACAAAGGTCGCCTCTCTCCCGTCAAAATAGACGTCAAAAACTAGACTCCATTTATATCAATTACTTGTGATTATAGAAAATGTAATTTTCCAGGATTATATTTTGCCTGCCTTCAAGGACTATTGTGTTTGGACACGTTGAGGTACAGTTTACATAAAGGCCAACAGCCCGGAACGCGTAAATGTTTGGCTTTTCTTGATTTATCTATAGAAGATTTGGGTCAGAATTTTTCTCAATAACGTGATGATTTGCATATCCCATGCATGCCACATATCCAGGCGAAGCCATGTCATTGGTCTAGCCATGTAGTAAATAACAAAATACTTTTTCAAAATAAGAACAAAATTTTTCTATTTTCCGATAAATTTTTATAGCTTCAAAAACGAAAAATTGAAAAAAAAAA